CGGACTTTTCCCCCCCCCCTCCCTACCCTTCCAGTTCTTCTTCGTCATCAAACTCTGTTTGCCCCGAGACTCCGTTTGAAGTATTTTCGGAGGAGAGGCCGATGAAATAAGATCGAGGCGCACGAAGCCGCTTTGTCCTCCGCAACGGGAAAAAGGACCTGCCCCCCTTCCCCCGGTAAACAAATTTTCTCGCTTCGGTGGATCAAAAGCTGCATCATCGCGCAATCTCGCGTCCTATGTATATACATTGTGCACCTAATATTTGTCAACCAAGTATATACAGTCGCGTCGACGACTATACGCGTAGAAGAAAGCCGTGGGGGGGGTGGGAAAAATTGAGCGTCGAGCTTTTTCCCAAAAGGAAGGATATATTTGTCGCACGTTCCCTACTCGGTGAAACCCCCGACCGAGGTGTGTATAATATACCCTTTCTGCGGTGTAGCCCAGAGTCATCGATAATATGCGAGGTGCGCTCGCCGCGGTTATTGAAAAACACCGGATCGGAAGAAAGTGTTGGAGATATACTTACCACGAGAACCGATTACCGCTGTACGCCATCACGTATCTGCCGGACCGATGAAATTAGAGCCAAGGATGTCCCTCTGTCCGTTCATATATATATATACATTGGGGCGAGCGTTTTTCTATCGCTTCGATCGCTGCCCCATATATACACACGGGCTCGCTTTTTCTCAGCACCCTTAAAGCCTTCCCTCGCCTCCTCCGTGAGAGCCCATAATTTCATTGTCTTTCCTCGGCTCGGAGCTGGGCCCGGTTTCTCCGCTCCTCTATTCATTACGTGCCACCCCCTCGCCCCAAGTATATGTGGCTATAGAACTATATATACATACCCTTTTCTTTTCTACACTTTTTCCAACTTTTTTCCTTCCCTCTTCTTTCGTTTCTTGAGTAATTATTTTCGCGCCACGTCAACTTCTCCAATTTCCCGTGATGGTTATTGTTGTAACACTGCTCTTTCGAGCGCAATCATTGTCGATGGTTTCCATACTTTTTTTTTTCTCCCTTCCCCCCTGCACTCTCTCCGTTTTTCATTTTGCCACCGCTAAGGACACACGTGATAGGAAATAAAAGCAGGTACATGTTGTACATATATGTGTGTATGGGCTAAAGTATGCGAGAGGAGGAGAGTAGCCCCTGTAGCCACCTGTTCGGCCGCAGCATAGTATATAATATGATACCTATAGGTATGGTATAGCTCTCGGCTCGAAATTCTTCTGATAATTGACGTGCTTTCTCACGCACTCTCTTGACGTACACGTGATATGCGCGTACTTGTGAATTATTGGCATAATATATGCATATGTATATATAATATCCTAAAGTTTTGAGCGACGCGGCGGCCCTTTATTTTCATCGGGAAGAGTTTAGAGGGTTTTTTTTTTCGTTTTCATCTTTAAATTTACCTATTACGATGTATATAGTACTTTGTAATATATATATATACATACATATTTTATTTTTATATTCTTATACGAGTTTTAGAATAACGACGGTTTTTTTTCTTCTCATTCATGTATATATGTATAATTAAATGTGCGATTTGACGTAATAAAAAATACAAGTCACCTTTTCTTTTTTTTTTTTTTTTTCATATGAAATTTTGCAATCAATAGCAGTGGCCGGATAATACACTGAAAAATAATTATAATAATAACAATTTGTAATACAAAAGCTGTAAACTGTAAAAAATCGACACAATGACGAAAACAATAAACAACATAATGTTGTATAATTAAAAACGCATATAAACCATCAGACGCACTTGCGTGAAATGTGATAATATTTAATTAATTCCCATGTTATTTTATTATCGTCGTTTGCAGCTCCAATAAAATTGCGATTCTTGTTTTTTATTACGTCTCTCGTACGCAGCTCGTGTATGTTTGTGTTGTGTGCGTGAGTATATATGTGTATTGTATTCCAATTAAAGATCTTTAACGAGAATCAGTTTACCGCATAGTGCAGCGAATTTTCGATTTTTTTCTCCTTCACATACTCTCCTACATTTTTGACTCTCTTTCTCTCTTTTTTTCGAGTTTTCAACGCTGAAATTCGATTTTTCTCTCCCGACTCTACCGACGTCCAGGGCTCCGAATAATGAAATGAAAGCGTGTACATGTATAAAATTTTCGTCGCTCAATCATAGTATTCGTTCCTCTCGTCTCATCATCTTTGACGCTTATTCGCCGTGTACAAAAACTCGCGCGTCGCAGTCGTTGGCGTCGTGCTTTACTTGTTTATTCGGATTTTTTATTTTTATTTTTTATTATCATTATTTTATATCGATTAATACAAACGTAAAAATCGCGTTCGCGCTAATGTTCGGGAAGCAAGTCGAGAGAAATCATCTTCTTTCGCGAGCCCCCTCGAGGGAGAAAATCGGCGTATATATATGACGTTTGCACGATAGTTCCCGAGACGGTGTGTTATGTGGATGTGTGTGTGTGTTTTTTTTTTTTTTTTCGTGTTTCCCTTAGTTTTTGTTTTTTGTTTTTTTATTTCATTTTTATTTTAGAATGTGTCGTCGACGCTGTGTCGCAAGGGATCTCCGTTTGGGTTTTTTTTTTATTTTACTCTTTTTTTTTTTGTTTCATTAATTCTTTTTCGTACGCTTTACGAATCCCAATTAAAAAGATAAGATTCTTCATTCGAACGTTGTTACAACGAGCTAATACTTGTTTTTACCTTTTTTTTGTCTTTCATACGTATAGGCATATTGTTTTGTTTTTTTTCTTTTTTTTTTCATATATATTCATATTTATATATTTATAATCATACTTTTACACTTTGATCATCCACATCAGTAATTCTATTTTTATGATTTTTTTTTATTTTCAGCATATTTCAGTTGATTCTCATCACTTTTTTTTCGATTTATCATATAAACTTATACAGATGCGTTACTATTTTTTTTTTTTTTTTCATTTACCCCTTCTTCACTCTACTCACATTGTCCATCATTAATGGGTTTTGTTTATTTCACGACTTTTAATCATTTCGTTCTTCACTTAGTCGTCGATATAATATCATATCTTAATATTAACGTTATCTCGCTCGTCCTTCGTCGGATGTCCTAAAACTACGACTATTATTATTATTATTATTATTAGCCTTACGATCCTTAATGCCTTAACTAAGATTTTCTTTGTCGTTTTTGGAGATATAGGCCGTGGCTATACAGGGCCCTCTAAATTTATTAAATATCACTTATTGGTGGCGCGCGGTCTCCCCGGATAATGGGTATTACTCGACGATGCTCTTCACACGTATACACACGCAACGTTGTATGTGCCCACGCCCCTGCAGTGATTCGGTTTCGATGACCCGAGCGACTCGGAGGGAAAACTCCCCGATTCTCCAACACCTCCTCGAACTCAAGATCATTGGGTAGACATTTTCAGTACTTCCCTGTATCCTAAGCCCATACGCGTGGAATGGCATTCATTTACATTTTCCAATTAGGAATCGGCAAAATTTTCGCGCCCCGAACCGCTCGGCCCATCCAATCAACGTGGAATCACTTTCGCGCGTACGCACAAACACGAAAATACAGTATACATGTACGTATAAATATGGTTACGACGGCCGGCCGCATTCACGCTTTCGCTCCCATTGGCATGCACACAACGAAACGCGCGCGATATCGACTCTCCCACACACACACACAACAATCGCGCCCGAGTCTTTTTCCCCGTTTTACATGTATGTAGTATAAAGCGTTTCGTTCCACCCAGAAATCGACATTCCCCGGACAGGGGGTTTTGCGCGGTGCACAGGTACATGCGTTTATACTTGTGTATGTATCTGCGTACCCCGTCGGCGGTAGCGGCTGCGAGCCTCGTTTATTCATGCTCTTCGGCGATTTGCGGTCGCGAGTCCGCGCGACGATTTCATCATCATTACTCTCGGCGATCCCCACCCCTACCTATAATCCTTAACGGTTAACCATTGAAATGCACTTTGTACGATATCAAAAAGGTCTTGGTATGAAAAAAAAAGAATAAAAGAAATCTTGCGTATGTATAGAAATCCCGTTTTTTGTATTATTTTATATATATATACACGCGTGTGTTGCTCGTATACGATGAAACCATATGATACAATTTGTATGTAGTAACGATGAATTCGCGCGTCAAGTATACGTTACAATTGTATTATCGAATAGGAAAGGTCGTGATCAAGTTTACAGCCAACGCTGGTTCTGCACGCATATAATGCATGAAAAGTTGTATAATGTACTCGTTACTTTTAATAGAACGACTCGTAAAAAGCAGCTGTTTATGCGTTTGAATAAAAAAAAAAAAAAATAAAATAAAAAAAATACAGACAACCGGCCGGTGGCCCTTTGAACAAGACTCGCCGCCTCCCCGTCTACTCGTCATGCAAGCGATCGACGCGAATGAAAATTTCGTTACTTTCATAAGTAAAGGCTGCCGTTGGCCGTGTTCGCCCTGGGCTATCGTAGGTGAATGAGGACTCCCTTTCATTAAACTTGCGTGGCGGCGAGCTCTGCGATACATGGAGGGACCGGCCGGCCCTTAGTCAGCTGATGGCCGAAATCGTCTGATGATTTGTCACTCTTATCGTCAAGTGCTGCTGCCACACCGGTGCAGCTCGAGGCTCGCCGCGGTACCGCTTCCCCCATCCCTCGCTCGCAACAACAGCAACAACAACAACAACAACAACAACAAGAACAACAACACTCTCATCATTAACAACATGAACAATAACAACAACAACGGTCACACAAGGGGCGCACACGAGTAGAAGAAGAACAATTGGCCGGGCCGCGCATCGTCATCAGTTACCCGCGGGTTCGTCGTCTCCCTGTAGGTAGCGGGTCCAGTAGCCAACGTTGAACATGACGAATATAAAGGGAAAAAGGAACCTCGACAGCACGTCGATTTGAGCGCTGCCCTTGGCGTGGCAGGTGAACCAACGCTTCGGCAACAAGCCCCAACAGCAGCGCTCGTCGTACGGGTTGACCAGGGGTTTCCGAAAGCGCGGGAAATTTTGGGCGCGCAACAGTTGGGCGGCCGCCTCGGCTGTTACCGGCTGAGCCGGGTGCTGTTGGTGGTTGTAGTGTTGGGCGGCCGCCGCGGCAGACTCGAGCTCAGCCACGAGGTGGGAGGTGGGCGACGGCGTGCAGGAGGAGCGCCGCCTCGGCGGTAGCTGCACCTGGACGACGGTGGCGCTCGGGCTGGCCGCCGCGGGACTGCGCGAGCGCGAGCGGGACCGGGAGTGCCGGGAGCGTTGGCTGCCGCGCGAGGAGCAGCCGCCGCCTGGCCGGCCCTCGCTCTCCGTGACGGACGAGGAGCTGGGCGAGCGCGAGCGCAACTGCTGCTGCAGGGCCGCCCTGTGGTGGGCGTGGTGCTGGTGTATACTGGCGCTGCTTCGCTGCGACGTTTGCGAGTGCGGGGGCGAGGGCGACGGTGTTGGGGAGTCCTGCTCCTCAAGCTGCTGCTGCTGTTGCTCGTGCTCCTGTTGCTGCTCTTGGTGCTGATGGTGGTGGTGATGGGTGTGGTGGCGGTGACGATGACGGTGATGGTGGTGATGATGGTGATGATGATGCGGGGACTGTTCCTGCTGCTGATGGTGGTGCTGATGGGGGTGGTGGTAGTGGTGCTTGTGTTGCTGTTGCCTGGGGGGTCGGCTACTGGTGGTGGCTACTGGGAGGCCAGCCGCGGCGATGGCTGCTAACGATGTTGGCTGCTGCTGCTGCTGCTGATAGGACGCCGCGAGACTGGCCGTGGTCAGGGGTGACGCCGCTACGACGGCTGAGGCTTGTTGTTGAGCCGTCGCCGAGCGGGGCTGGGAGTAATAGAGGTGGCCGCGTGCCACATCCCTTGATCCAAGCGCTTCCTCCTCGTTGTTGTCGTCGAGGCTTACTCGCCATCCGCTTCCTCCCGAAATAGGTACGTTGACCAATACGCGAGATTGAACAGTGCGAAAACGAGGGGGAAGATTATCCGTGCGATTACGTCTATCCGCTTGGACCTCGTCGGGAACTTGGACAGCCACGACCTGCAGCAGTTTTTTTTCGGCGGTTGCGTGTGTAACTCGCACTGCCGCATCTTCTCCATAGACACGCTGTCCGCCTGCCGTACCAAAGGCTTCTGGAAGAAATTTGCTCCCTTTGATTTCCAGTCTGTATTCACTCATCATCGCTCGTGTGTTTTTTTTTTTTTTTTTTTTCCCTCCCCCAAGTGTTTTATAGTGTGTGACAAAGATGACAGATAAAACAAAATAAACGAAATAATGCAAGCTTGATGCGCATACGGTTATCGCTCCCATTGCCGTTTCACGTGTAAGTGTGTTACAAAGATAGCAGATGAAAAGCGTGCATAAAAAGAATTTATTTACATGGTTTTGATAAGCCGATAATCGCACTTATGATGTAGTAATACGAGAATGCATTTTTTTTTTTTTTCATTTTTCTAAGGCGTTGGTGATGGTTAATCCAAATGAAAAGCAAAGACGTGAATCACTCAAACACACGCATACACAGTCACTTTCGTTGAAAAGCAAAAAAAAGCAGCTTGAAAAAATAATCAAGCAAAAAGGTAATTGGATCGAGAATCCATTCATCCCGTGAAGTCTTTGATTACGGCTTCAAAATGGAAATACAATGACGCGAAGAGTTTCCGAAGAATATGACGAGGTCAAACTTTCAATATTGAATGCACAATAGCTTGGGCATTTTGCATCAGACTTCAATTAAGGTTCACAGCAAACCGTATTGTGTGGGAGGACGTATAAAAAATGTTAATCAACATATTATATATATATATATATATATATATTCATATACATNAAAAAAAAAAAAAAAAAAAAAAAAATCCACTTCTATGAGAGCTAGAAGGAAAACGCGGTCCACCGGAATAAATGAGAAAGGCATCGAGCGATGCTCTTTTTGTACCTCTAAGAAGTCACTGTGCGCATTATGGGTTTTTATTTATTTATAACCTTTTTTTTTTTTTTTTTTTATTCAATTCCCTCTGATATTGCATGATACAAACGACCGCGATAATTGAGATCCGGGCGCACTTTGCGAGATATCAATAAATACGCGCGCCCGTTGTGTTATGCACCGCGAGTGAAAGCATTTGCCCAATAATACCCGGTTCATGAATACACAGATGAGTACCAACCAGCCAGTTTATCTCGCATTCCCCGACCGTTGAGTCAAATATTTATGTTATGTTATGGCAAACTCTATCAATAATAGAAGCAACATTTTGCTTGACTATTATAAGAAATATTGAGCCGCCGTCGAAAATCTTCATTAACATTATTATGGGCAAGGATAGGAAAAAAAAAAAAGAAAAAAAAAAAAAGATAAAAGTCTTTGGTGTATTTGTACGAAGATTTTTGTTTTATTTTTTCTTTAAACTGATTTTAATCATCGCAGAGAGTGTTTATGTCTACTCGGTTCATAATTGCTATGCCCCTATATTATACTCGAGACCCAAAGTGTCGGGTAAAAAAAGCCTCGTACATAAAGTATTTTTTCTGCAACCCACATGGGAATTACATCCCTGTTCATTTGGATGAAAAATGTTCATGCAGTTGATGCAACGCACAGAGTGCGACGAGTCACGATATTATTATTATTATTATTTTTTTTTTCTGGAAAACCGATTTCGCAACGAAATTCGAGATAAGCGAGGGGGAAATTTCAATAAACGAAAAAGCCAGGTTTAAATGGCGCGTTATGTGCGCGTTATCAAAGGCACCGGCGGATGGACGGGCTCCTTTGGTAATTTTTTAACAAGATTAACGTGCGCGTATCGCCGGCCCTCTGGCTATACACACCCGTGCACACACACACATACATGTGCCACCGCGAGAGAGCGCCCGGGGAAAGAGAAAAGGGTGACTATATATATACTGCGGTTAGGGGTCGGTGAGGCGGAGGGGGGGGGAGGTTGAGAGCCTGTGGGGGACGCCTGGCTGGCTGGCTGAGTGGGTTAAGCTCTCGCGGAGCGTAAAAGCAGAGTGGTTAGTCGTGCCGTTCGAGTTTAGAGTGTGCGTCAGCGACACTATACGTTACTTGACCCTCTGTGCGCGACGGTATTTGTCTTGCGAGCTGTACCACCCCGATGTATAAGTACATATACTAGGGAAAAGTATAGATATTTTATAAAAATACGACAACGCTTGTTGAAAACAATCAAAATTGTTTTACGATTGTAGCAGCACGATTTTACAGTTGCATAAATGCATTCGCATGGCAACAAGAACTCACTTTTATACGTTTCTTTTTTTTTTTTTTTTTTTTTTAATTTACTGTAATTATTGAAAAATAAGCACTACATGTTATTTACGTTTAGAAGTAAAAACAAAATTTTGTGTTGAAAGTTGTTTGTACGAAAGTTTGAACCAATGAAAAAAGGAAAATAAAGTTCCGTGCCCGATCGAAACTGATGCGCTTGCAAAGTCTTGTCTTGCTAGTTTCTCCTATAATGGCTATCCCAACTATATACGTATATACACAAATCTGATGCCCCTCTCCTTCCACCGTAAAGTTAGTCCGCTCCTGAAAATGCTTATATGGTGCTTTTACTGGATGCTGGGCTATTTTCCCACATTTTCCCATCGCGACACTTTTTTTCGAAAAATAACATTGCTACTACAGTTTAACGTTTGGAAAATGAAATGTATTAATATTTTGACTAAAACTGTTGGTCGTAGGATTTAAGAAAAATGAAAATGGAAAAGAAATACCAGTTTATCGATCGACACTGGTGCTGGTGTTGTCGAGTAAGCTTTTGTAATCGCGTGTAAAAGCATGTGCGGTTATCGACAAAGTCCACGGATTGACGGCGGGGAAATATATACATGACATTTTCCGGGCTTCAACAAACCCTTGTGAAATAATTAATATCTCGCCATTTTCGGTTCGAGGAGGATACAAAAAATATAACTTCTTTCTTCGTACAAGCTTCAACTTTTATCCGATAATGAACACTTTGAGCCAATTTATTACTCCCCATCGTATATTATTTCATTTGCTCGTCATCAGCTTTATTATTATTGCTTTTCGCATCGTTAGGTGTATATATATATATATATCAAATGAAACGACCTGGCATAGAAAACCAATATATTACTGCAAAAGTCAACCCAATTAGACAAGGAACACTTTCAGCGTTAATTATTCCACTTTCGTTGCGGGTAAATATTTGATTGATTGAAAACAGAAATTACGATAAATAATAATAAATGCATTCGGATTCAGTGGGAAGGTGAAAGTAGTTAATTGGCTCGGCAAATTGTATAGGTCGGTGCGCGTCATATCCACATACGTGGATGATATACGTCAATTGACGTCAGTTCACCTCTTCTCCTCCTCATCGCGTATACAAATACACTTCCGTCCGACTTTTCTGGGTTTTGCGTGTATTTACCTATACTTTTTGCTGTCTCTATAGGTAAAAAGCTATATGTATATATACACAAAGCAAATTATTCAAGCCTGAGCTCTTCCGTAAATAAAACGAATAACTCATATGTTGTCCCGGCGTGGTGCTAATATTTGGGATAATGATGATGGGAGACAGGGTGTGTACAATACAAACAACGATGTCCGAGTAATTATGAGTATTTATTTTATTGTGTTATCTTTAATTATACATAAAAATGGTAGTTTTCCAATTATATACATTGATGAAAACTAAACTTTTTTTTTTTTTTTTTTTTTTTTTCGTCTATAAAAGGGCTGTTGTTTCGAATGATTCTGTTTGAGAGATGATTTTTTTTTTTTTTTTTATTCATTATATCGTATATAATATATACGCGTCGTACGTATACATGTTTGATTAATCGAGTAGATACATTTTAATATATGCACACACTTTGGTTTATCATGCATAATTAAAATTCATCGAAGTGCATTGATTAATTTACGGCTTCGTTTGGCTAGGTTGGAAAATTGTAACGATAATAATAATAATTGTGATAAAAATCGAAGAGAGAAGACCGCAAGAAAGTAAAAATGATACACAACGAACCCTATAATATACAACCAATGAGACGCTCAACTTTCGGAGTCTATCATCTAATTGTAACATTGATATTCGATAGTCGTTCATCTAAATGAAAACACAGTTGTATGATGATGATCTTTAAAACTCGTTCGCGACGAAACTATCGATTCAAATACATATACATATACATATATAAATATTTATATATCTCACCACTTAATTATTACGAATGGTTTTGGCAGTCTGACTAAACATTTAGTTATACTCCTCGGTCGTGATTTTATTTTATTATTATTATTATTTTTTTTTTTTTCATCCAAGCTCAGTTATTCTTTTACGAGCAAACTGCACGAGGGTTTTTTCTGCATTATT